CGACTATCCCTTCCTAAATTAGGCCATCCATGACCTTTTCCATCTCTTGTCGCTTTGCCAGGGCTATTCTTCTTGGAGGGATCTTTATTGGACGGTGATTGCATGTGTTTATTTTGTGCCCCACAAGATCTGTGCAGCCGAGAACATGATCTCCTTTTGAAAAGATGTCTGCGTAATTCGCCAAAAGTTCTCTAACCTGAAGAGCTTGTGATGATGCCAAATGGACTATGCTCTTCTTATAGAGGTCAGTTAAATGTTCTGGAAGTGTATGTCCTTTCTTTATGGTTGTATTTCTTGCCTTAACGTTGACTAGCTCTACCTCCTGGCACACACCGTCACTACTGTTCACTTCTTTAATTATCTATCTATCTATCGCTGGTCTCTCTGCCAGGCTTACAGACTAAAAAAAGGGGGCGTCTCGAACGCACTAGGAAATTCATGATCATTCGAAAAACTCCTCGCACAGCGCCAATGCACAAGCAGCGTAACGTGATTTTTGCTATCGTAACAGTATGTAATAATATTTCACCCACGATATATCCACCATATCCATTGCCGATGGCGCACTTCGCTCAGTACAAGAGCTCATCAGGCCGGATTGAACACAATAAAGGACTGGATAAAGAATTTAGTGTTAAAATATAATAGGCTTAACATTAATGTCTTATCTTTTATGACAAGTATAATAATTATTATAATCATACTTTGTCAACTTAGAAAAGGCGTTCACACCAGTGGCGACCATATAGGGTGTGCAAGCTGTGCAGTGCACAAGGGCCCACGAGCTCTAGGGAGCTCACCAAGCCGTAATCCAATTAACTTTAAAAGGTTTGTTAAAGAAAAGTGACAAAGTGAGAACAGTAAAGTTTTCAGAAAGACTGTGATGTCAGCAATTGGCGATTATTGTTCTGTCAGTCATCCTATGAAGATGCTCTGTGCTGACTTCATAACCAATGTTTTTGTGGGTTTTCTCTTTGCGCCATTTTAGCTAATTTTTAAATATTTTATGATGATTTGATATCTGTTGTATATGACTAATTGATTGTTATTTTCCCTTTTAAGATTAAGGTTACTAAGATGTGTATTCTTCTGCTAGTAATGCAATAAAAATTTAATTACAATCGCTTAATGGTGTAATATGTTTTGTATGTTACAAATAAGGAAAGAGTAACTTATCCAGTATTTACGTACATTTGAAATAATTTCTGACCATCTTTCAAGTTTTACTGTATTGATGTTTTTCATTTGTATATGTGCATGTATAATAAATACAGTTAGTAAGTTACGTAATTTATCCTGCACAAGGGCCCACAACTAAATATGGCCACTGCTGGTTCACACCATAATATGATGAAGACATTTCACTAGAGAAACACTGGATATCTTGTAGCAGAGACTGTGTGAGAAAAATATAATCTTTAGTTAGATTTCAAACTAGTGATAAGAAGATTGGAAGACTTGTGAAAAACACATAAAGTTCCTAAGTACAATAATATGATAATGTTTTTGCTTATAAGAGCAAAAAATTAATAATCTAAGCCGGCTTGTGTTATGATACAATAATAAGATACTGTTTTTACTTATAAATATGAAAAATTAGTAATTTAAGCCGAATTATGTTATAGTATAATAATGAGATGCTGCTTTTATCTTGTAAGTGTGATACATTAGCATTGTGAGCAGATTTGTGTTAAAATACAAAAATAAGATACTGCTTTTACCTTATCTCTGTGAAACAATACTAATTTGAACCGAGATTATGTTACAGCACGACAATAAGATATTGCTTTCATTTTATCAGTGTGAAGCATTGGCTAGCTCGCCAGCTTCTAATTTTAGAGATCTATCACAGGATCATCCCAGACCTATTGACATGGGATCCACCAGTTTGCAGAAAACGAACTTCATTCTCATAACTTTGTTCGTTCACTTTTATTGTACCTGTTTCTTTAGGCTCTGTCTAGTGACAACTTTTTCATTTGTCAGACAATCTGTTGGAAAAATATTAGTTTGAAATCTTAAAAGTGTTGAGAAGATTCCTTGATATAAGACAATGAGATAACCATAACAATGACAGCGTACAAGCAGTAACATCAGGCCATCTGTTGCTGTTTGGTACTTACGCAATGGATATTGTTTCGGTTGATCAATGGATAGTTGTGACTTATGGGGCTTATATATATATATATATATATATATTAGTTATTCTGTGGGCGTATGAAACGTATGCTGTGGATATTGTCTCGGTGGAACAGCGATAAGTCTTCGGGTTTATAACGCTAAAGTCCGGTGCTCGATTCCCCGCGGTGGACTCAGAGATAGCCCAATGTAGCTTTGCTCTAAAACAAACAAACTGTAAGTCACTTGATCTTATTATATGCATTTTGTTCCTATTATTTACGGGTGCATGGAACTTAAGCTTATTTTTGTTAATCTACGAATGTCTGGAACGCTATGTAAATGTTTCTATTTGTTTATGAAAATCTGAAACTTATGCTCCGGATCTTATTTATATTAGTCTACGAACGTCTGGAACTTAAGTTATGGGTGTTGTTTTCACAAGTCTACTTACGTCTTGAACTAAGCTATGGAAGTTGTTTCCATAAGTCTTCTTACTTCTGGAACTAAGCTGTAGAAGTTGTTTCCAGAAGTCTACTTACGTCTTGAACTAAGCTGTAGAAGTGTTAGTTATGTAGGTGTAGACCGGATCCTGTACAGTAGGTGTCTGTGATGTGTTGCGATAAATTTCAATAATAAACAAACAGCACACAATCCATTTATTTTAAAATAATATATATAAAATAAAACAAGTCAAACGTTTGTACAAAGGTTCGTTACATTGTTGGTTATCACAGTTGTATCCAGAGCTTTAAGTAATTGTCTCTACTTCGTCAAAGTCCACACAGACTGGTTCAGTTACTTTAGAACACAATTTGTCAAAACGAATTATCCTTCTCTGCTCTGGTATTACAATACACTCAATAATAATTTCACCTTAAAACTCGCCACAATATGCTCTTATGGTTAAACTCACAATCACGCAGTCTAGATCTATCTATTCTATCTAACTAACTCCTTCTAACTTTATCTAACTAGAACTATATTTCGTATGCGTATTCATAGCCTGAACGAGGTCTAGAGCTTTCTACACACTACGAGATATTACGATTCAATAATACTCAAAAGAGCGAGAAAAAACTTGACGCAATAATAAAACAAGCTTCAATTCATAACAATTGAACTACACAATGTATGTTTCGTACACAGTTACGTAAAGAAACCTGCGATAAGCTATCGCTTCTAAAATACTGTTACGGCAGCGGAAGTCTCGCGACGCTGGGAGCATGCGCGCTGGAGTTTCTAGAAGGATCGTGACTTAGCGGGCAACCTCACGAACGTCCCAGCGTTTGCTAGACGCCCTCTTTTTTAGTATATAAGCCGAAGATAGATATAGAGACAAATAATCGAGTC